CATAAATAAAAACATCTTTAAGCGTCCGGTCCTCATAAAAGGATAATAGTAGTAGTAATAGTAATTAGTAAGTTGTATAAGGAGCAGTGTTACTGGTAGTAGTAATAGTAGTAGTGAAAATAAAAGGGAAGTGAAGGGTAGTAACAGCAGCGGTTGCAGTATAGTTAGTCACAGTATCAGTTGTATTAGCAGTAGTATGGGAGGCGCTAGAGGTGGAGTCATTCAGATCATGGAAATGTAATAACATGATTACCATTCCATCAGCCACAGCTTTCACTGGTCGACGACTGTCACAGCGTTTCCGTCTAGCAACCCTCCACCGCCACATATCAATGACATTCATACATCCTTAAAGACTACAGATTTTCTGTCAACTGTCATGCAGCTGGATTGGCGTTCCTATTCTGGCCAGCGGGTTATCACGCTCAAGTGAATGGAACTGACACAGAATATAGCATTCCCTCCTTACAGTATGCCGTCATGTCTTTTATTATATGCCTAATTCCGCATTTTCACGGCTGACAGTCACTCGTTAACCTAAATAGTGTCTCGAGAAAGGAGGAAAGCACAGCATGTTTACTCTACGTACCTGTCGTCACGTCGTCTGGAATTTAAGAAAGTTTTGGACGTTCACCCAGGCGTTTATAGTCCTTTTTTGCCACACTCCGTCTCACCAATACTGAATTGCTATACACACAAGCAATCAACAAATAAAACGGCAGTATCACAAGTATAAGTCACAATGAAACGATAACAGTGTCCCACCAACAAAAAACAATAAGGAAAGCCTCAAGGTCACAGGATCAAGGATAGCTAACAAATGCACCTGCTCAAGACGGCGCCCAGCACCAACTGGCTGAGCAGAGGAGCGGCGCGGCCTTTTATGCCTTTCGCTGGCGGGAGGAGTTGTAGTATGTGAGTGTTTGTGTATGTTATGTTATCATTGTTCTCATGCAGATTCTTTGAAATCTGGTCGTTGTTTGTATTCCTTTTGGGTCCTAGGATAACCGTTCTATTGTGTCTGGAATGATTTTCACCGTATGTGTGCATGTTTATAATATATATTTATATATATATATATATATATATATATATATTATATATATATATATATATATATATATAATGTATTGTATGTGTATATGGAGATTAATAAATGTATTAGATAAATAAGAAGCGAAAGAGAACTAGGAACCCGCTTGTGTGGGGAAAGAACGTTTGTAGGTGTTTACATTACTCGCCTCACAGGTGAACCTCGGAAACTCCTCCCGTGGCGACTTCCCGCGGCAGCCCCCAGTGACGCACAACTTCGTCCAAGTTGCCTATGTAGGTAAAGGCTCTTGTGTTTAAATGGATTTGAATTACCCTGATATATTACGCTTGGTAGATTTAGAAATAAGTATAATCATGTGACAAATGATATAGTCTGATTTCTTTTTCATTTAGTGGCAATTTGTATCTATGGAAGATATTCAAAAATTGATCAATGGTCCAGTAGTCAGTGTATTTTCCTTGTTAGTCTTTGACTTGTAAGGTCATGTGTACATCCAGATTTAATGTTTTTTTTATTACTAATTGTAGTAGTAGTAGTAGCACAAGTACTGTTATTAGTGATATTAGTAATAATGTTAGTTTTTTGTTACTGTTGCTATTATTATTATTGTTTCTCATCATTATTAGTTATCATTATCATTATTACTATTATTATCATCATTATTGTTGTTTATATCTAATTATCATCGTTATTATTATTTAATGTTTTATTATCTTCATCATCTCCATTATCATTATTGTTATTATTATTATTATTATTATTATTATTATTATATTATTATCATTACTACTACTACTAGTAGTAGTAGCAGTAGTATAAATGCATCATTATTTTTCTTATCCATATTATTGCTATCATTATTATCATTATTGTTATTATTATTATTATTGTTATTATTATTATCATTACTAGTAGTAGCAGTAGTATATATGTATCATTATTTTTCATATCCATATTATCATTATCGTTATTGTTATCACTCTTATTGTTATTATTATTATCATTATTATTATTAGTAGTAGTAGTGTTAGTAGCAGTATTAGTAGTGACGGTATCATTATCATTATTTATGTTCTTTGTTATTATCATTATTGTCATTATTATTGTTTTCGTTATTACTGTTATTTCTATCATTTGTTATTATCATTATTGTTATCATTATTATAAATGTTGTTGCAATTATTATTATGAGTATTACTACTGTAACTCTTAATATTGCTGTTATCGTAATCATTATTGTAACCACTATTATTGCTGGTATCATTATACTAATGATAATATCATTCTCACTGCCATTGTTATTACTACCATCATCATTATTATATATACCATTATCACTCAAAGTTAGCATCAATGATGTTATAATCAATATGAAAATTGCAATCATTACTCTCATATCATTATTACTCATTATTTCTTTATCACTGCTATCATTTTCTTATTGTT